GGAAGGAGAGGTGCCGAGGGAAGGAGGGAAGGAGGGAAGGAGGAGGAGGAGGAAGGAGGAGGGAGGAGGAGGAGGGAGGGAGGGAGGGAAGGAGGGAGGGAGGGAGGGAGGGAGGGAGGAGAAGGGAGAGAGGAGAGAGGAGGGGGAGGAGGAGAGAGGAGGAGAGAGAGAGAGAGAGAGAGAGAGAGAGAGAGAGAGAGAGAGAGAGAGAGAGAGAGAGAGAGAGAGAGAGAGAGGAGAGAGAGAGAGAGAGAGAGAGAGAGAGAGAGAGAGAGAGAGAGAGAGAGGGAGGAAGACAAAGGAAGAGAGGAAGAAAGGAAGGAGGGAAGGAAAGAAGAAAAGACAGGAGCATAGAAGAGAGCGAGGAAGGGAAGATGAGAGAAAATAATGATAAAGAAATCATGACAAAAACTTTAAACAAATAAACGAATACAGATGGACATACGATAAACTTGCTAAAGGGCAAAGCGACAACGAAAGAAAAGTAGAAAAAACTACAAGGCTAAAGAAGACTTTCAGCTTGTTCAGCATAACAGGATTAACTATAAAACGGTGGGACAGGAGGACAGACGAATAAACAAGTGTAGACGGATAAGAATGTAATATAAATAGTTGACATATACTATACTGTAGATATATTGATGGATTGTTGGACAGATAGACAGATAGCCAGACTGACTGAAAGACAGCAGGTTAGCCAGCATGATAAATAAACAAATAGGGGCCATAAGAGAGACAGACAGATAAACAGACATCTATAGCAAGACTGCACTAACCGCATAAGTTTATACAAATGGACACGACGAAACAAATGGATATGGATGCTGCTACATATACAGCCAACCGGCCTAACATTAGAAATACCCTATTATTTTTCATTTCCACCAGTTTTTTTTCCTTTCCTTTCCAATTTCATTCAATCTCATCTTCGTACCTCCCTATCCCTCCCCTCCTCTTCTCCTGTCACCCTCCTTCCCTCTTCCCTTCCTCCTTCCCCTCCGCTCCTCCCTTCCACCTCTCCCTCTCCTTACCCTCCTCCCTTGTCTCCGCTCCTCTCCTCTCTTCCTCCTCCTCCTCCTTCTCCTCCTCCTCCTCCTCCCCCTCACCTTTTGACCAGACTCTCCCAGCCTTTGCTTGCGTCAAGCCTCACGACGAACACACACTGTGCAATACCTGATTTTCTGCTTACTAACGCGCGTGGCGCTCTCGACACTACCGTTTACTTTGTCCCCGCTCTGTTTCTTCTTCTTCTTCTTCTTCTTCTTCTTCTTTGTCGGTCTATTTCCGTCTGTATTTCTTGTCTGTCGGTCCACTCCTGTATTTACTTCTTAATCTCTGTTTCTCATAACCTCTACCTCCGTCTCTGCCAATTCTATCCGTATATGTATCTTCACTCCTACTCTACCTATTTTTGTCTATCGGTTTACCTCCACTTCTCCCCCCCCCTCTGTTTCTCTCTAAGTCTGTCTCCCTTGCCATCCGTTTGTTGTATCTATTAGCCCATTTATCCGTCTGGGTCGCCCCTTCCTTGCATTCCTAACCGGCCGTCTGCATGCCTATGACTCAACACGGCTTGCAATCCGTTGAGCTGCGTCTCTTCCTGTATTCAACATTTACGTGTCTTAGAGTGGGGGTCACACACACTGCGGTTGTACTTCTGTTTCAGTGTGTTTACTACTTACTACACATCCTTTCTCTGCATTTCCTTGTATCTCAACCCTTATCTTCTCTTCCCTTTCCCTGTCAACATTACGAACATTACCTTCCCTTCCCTTCTATTCTCTTCCCTCCACCTTCCCTTCCCTTCCTCCCTTCTTCCCTTCCCTTCTCATCCCCTCCCCTCCTCTTCCCTTTTCTCCTTTTCTCTCCTCCCCTCCCCTCCTTTCCTCCCTCCTCCCCTTCCTTCACCCCTCCCTCCACATCCTCCCAATGAAACCTTAGATCAGCCTTCTTTCAACTTGCAATTGAGGAAGTTGCACTAGAGTCACGTCTCCTCGGGTTGGAAGTAGAGACGGGGTGGGGGGAAGGGAAGGGAAGGGAAGAGGAAGAGAAGGGAGAAGAGAAGAGAAGAGAAGAAAGAGAAGAGAAAGAAGAGAAGAGAAGAGAAGAGAGAGAAGAGAAGAGAAGAGAAGAGAAGAGAAGAGAGAGAAGAGAAGAAGAGAAGAAGAAGAAAGAAAGAAGAGAAGAGAAGAGAGAGAGAGAGAGAAGAGAAGAGAGAGAGAGAGAAGAAGAGAAGAGAAGAGAAGAGAAGAGAAGAGAAGAGAAGAGAAGAGAAGAGAAGAGAAGAGAAGAGAAGAGAGAGAAGAGAAGAGAAGAGAAGAGAAGAGAAGAGAGAGAAGAAAAAGAAGCGAAAGGAGAAGGAGAGAAGGAAAGGGGAAGGGAGAGAAGGAAAGGGAAGGTTGGGAAGGAAGGGGAAGGAATAGGAAGGGAAGGAAATGGGAGGACAGGGGTGAGAAACGGAGAGAGCCGGAGAGATGGAAAAGAGGAAGGAAAGGGAAGGGAAAAATAACGAAAGGGATTAAAGAACGTGTGAGGAAAACGTGGAAGGGGAAGAACAAATAGAGAAAATGGGGAGACAGAGGGAAAACACGAAAGAAAAGGGGATGGGGAAAAGGAGAAGAGGAAACGAGACGGGGAAGACAGAGGAGGAGGAGGAGCAGATGGGCGTGCGTGCGTGCCTGCCTGCGCCCGCCCGCGTCTGCACAACCGGTCCGTGACAATGAAATCTGTATCATTTACGCGCCGCCGCTGCAATTGCCAGCCGTGAGTCGGAAGAAAATTAAATCGAATAAAAGATGGCGCAACTGTGAGTTGTGAGCAGAGTCAGTGAATGAGTGAAAAGAATAATCTGAGCGAGTGTGAGTGAGTGACTGACTGACAGAAAGAATAATCTGAATGAGTGAGTGACTGAGTGATTGAGTAAGTGACTGACTGAGAGAATAAACTGAGTGACTGACTGACTGACTGACTGAGAGAATAAACTGAGTGACTGACTGAGAGAATAATCTTAGTGAGTGAATGAGTGAGTGAGTGAGTGAGGGCGGGGAAGGAGCTGAAAATGAAAAAGAGAACAATGCTTCTCATAATTATGACAATCCCCTGAACAAAACTATGACCCGTAAACAAGTGGAGTTATTGTTACTAAACAAAGCTACACTTTACAATGAACACGAACAAAGAAACCATAAAAATAAAAATAAATACTAAAATAATGTTTAGAATGTGTGTGTGTGTGTGTGTGTGTGTGGTGTGTGTGTGTGTGTGTGTGTGTGTGTGTGTGTGTGTGTGTGTGTGTGTGTGTGTGTGTGTTGTGTGTGTGTGTGTGTGTGTGTGTGTGTGTGTGTGTGTGTGTGTGTGTGTGTGTGTGTGTGTGTGTGTGTGTGTGTGTGTGTGTGTGTGTGTGTGTGTGTGTGTGTGTGTGTGTGTGTGTGTGTGTGTGTTGTGTTGTGCGTGTGTGTTTGCGTGTGTGTTGCATGTGTTGCGTGCGTGTGCGAGTTACGTGCGTGCGCCTGTGTGCATGTGCGTGTGCATGTGCGTATCCATATGTGTGTATGCGTATGTGTGTGTTGCTGAGCATATCTACTACAAAGCTGCAAAACTCCCGCCGCGCCGACACGAGCAACGGCGAGCAACGAGCACAACAAAGCAAAATAAACAGCAGCACCCTCGGCCGCCAACGCCTCCTGCGCACTCTACAGCATCCCCGGCATTCTCTCCTGCTCCCTTACTCTCTCTCTCTCTACCTCTATCTCTGTCAGTCTCTGTCCCTCTCCCTCTCCCTCTCTCTCTCTCTCTCCACACACACACACACACCACACACACACACACACACACACACACACACACACACACACACACACACACACACACACACACACACACACACACACACACACACACACACACACACACACACACACACACACACACACACACACACACACACACTCATACTTACATTTACCTACCCTCCGTCTACCCCTCCCTCTCCTTCCTCTCCCTCTCTCTCTCTCTCCTTCTCCTCTCCCTCTAACTCAACACACACTTACCTACCTCCCTATTTCCCTCCCTCTCCTTCTCCCTCTCCCTCTCCCTCTCCCTCTCCTCTCTTCCTCTTCCTCTTCCTCTTCCTCTTCTCTTCTTCCTCTTCCTCTTCCTCTTCCTCTTCCTCTTCCTCTCCCTCTCCCTCTCCCTCTCCCTCTTCCTCTTCCCTCTTCCCTCTCCTCTTCCTCCCTCTTCCTCTCCCACTCCCCCTCTCCTCTCCCTCTCCCTCTCCCTGCTCTGTGCTCGCCTCTACTCTCCCTCCCTCCCCTCTAACTCTCCCTCCCATTCCCTCTCCCTCTCCCTCTGCTCGCTCCCTCTCCCTCTCTCCCTCACTTAACACTCGGCCATCCCTCTTCCATTCCCTCCCTCTCCTCTGCCTGTGCTCTCCTCTACCTCTCCTCTCCCTCCTCTAACTCTCCCTCTCCCTCTCCCTCCCATTCCCTCCCTTCTCCTCTCCTTCTCCCTCCATTCCCTCCCCCTCTCCCCCCCCCTCCTCTGCTCCTGCCGCTCGCCTGCTCTGCCAGCCTCCCTCGGTCTAGTTGTCTTGGATACGGATTTCGCAAGCTCTGCAATTGATCGTTTGGCAAGCATCCGAATGGACGAGTGGGTAGCCTACCAATTTCCTTCTCCATAATGCGGAAGAAAAGATTGGCATTAGATACTAAGCCTCTCCGATTTCTCAATTATGTTTTTTTTTTTTTTTTTTTTTTTTTGGGGGGGGGCGAGAATGAAAGACGAAAGACGACACACGCAAGGCTACATCGGCCATCCTCTCTCTCTCTCTCTCTCTCTCTCTCTCTCTCTCTCTCTCTCCTTCTCTCTCTCTCTCTCTCTCTCCTCTCTCTCTCTCCTCTCTCTCTCTCTCTCTCTCTCTCTCTCTCTCTCTCTCTCTCCCCCCCCCAAAGACCACACTGGATATCAGATTCCTTCCTCAGTCTCTCTCGTCCTCCACTCACCTCATCTTGTCCTCGAAGATGCGTCCGACAATGTCGAATAAAAATGAAACACTTATAATAATAAACGAATACGCAAATTAATTAACAGTCACGAACAGAGCCGCATAAAAGCGCGTATTTCTAGTCCATAAATCTTCAAAGATCTTCGAAAATCCTCACGACACAAGAATCCAAAACGTGAGAACGCGCGGACACACCCACACACACGCAGCAACGCGTCCGAACGCAAGGGCGTCGCGAATACAACTGAATGGCTGAGCCTCGCGTAATACTCACACGCGTGAGGGAAGGAGAGGAGGGGGAGGTGGGGAGCAGGAGAGGGAAGGGTGCTGGGAAGGGAGGCGAGCGAGATGGAGGGGGAGGGGGGGGACGTGATTACGCTTCGACCCCGTCGCACTCCCCTCGCCCCCTCCCTCCCTCCTCCTTCTACCTGTCTTCGCTCACCTGTTGCTCTCGAGGAGGGGGCATGGTTTTAATGTTCAGATGAATTTAACACTAATGATTATATATGAGCTCCGGTTCGCATGGGCGGGGTCTGGAGACACTGGTTTCCCGGCCGCAGCGGCGCATGCGCACAAGCACGAATACTTATACATGTATAATTATGCCTTTGAGTTTTCTCTTTCTCTTTCGCTCTTTCTTCTCTCATTCTGCACACTCTACTTCTTGCTTGTTTGATCCTCCATTTTTCAGTCTCTGCCTATCTGTATGTATTTATATATATATATATATATATGTGTGTGTGTGTGTGTGTGTGTGTGTGTGTGTGTGTGTGTGTGTGTGTGTTTAACACACACACACACACACACACACACACACACACACACACACACACACACACACACACACACACACACAACACACAACACACACACACACACACACACACACACATACACATACACATACACATACACATACACATACACACACACACAACACAGACACAGACACAGACACACAGACACAGACACAGACAGACACACACACACACACACACACACACACACACACACACACACACACACACACACACACAACACACACACACACACGCACGCACGCACGCACGCACGCAACGCACGCATGTACGTGTATGTATATATATGTGTACATGTGCAACGTGGTCAACTGTTCATTATTCCATATACAGCTCGCAGCAAGAATAACACTGCTTACATTGAATGACTATTCAGTGTCTTCCTCTTCTCTCTCCCTTTCCTTCTTCAATCTTTCCCACTCTCTTCCATCCCTTCCCCCCTCTTTCCACTCCTTCTCTCCCTCCCACCAGCCCCTCTTTTCTTTCCCTTTTACTTTTTCTTTCCTTCCCTCCAACAACTCACCTTTCCCTCCCTCCTACCCCCTCTTATCCCTCCTTCCCTTCCTTCCCTCCCTTTCTTTTTACCCTCCCTCCTTCCCTCCCTTCCTTTTTCCTCCCATTTGCCCTCCCTCCCTCCCCTAGCCCTCTCTCTCTCCTCCTTCCTCCCCTCCTCCCTCCCCTCTGCCCTCCCTCCTTCCCTTCCCTCCTTCCTTTTTACCCTCCTTCCCAACCTCCCCTCCCTCCTCCCTCCCTCCCACCTCCCTCCCTCCCTCCCTCCCTCTGCCCTGACGTCACCGCCGGCCCTGGGGAAGCCACGGGACAGGAGCTTCCCTGAGTCATCACCGCGGGCCGTCGGCTGGTCAGTTCCGGCGAGCGGCACGTGGCACCAGGACCTGCCTCCCGACCCCGCTGCTCTCTCCTGTCTTGTCCCATTCGGGAGTTCTGTTCTGTTTTGTTCCATTCTGGTGTTCTTTTCTTCCGTTCCATTTCTTTGTTTTGTTTGGCGTTCTGTTTTGTTCATTTTGGTGTTTTTTCTTTTTTGTCTGATGTTCCTTTGTTCTTCTGATGTTCTTTTCTTTGTTTGTTCTGGTGTCTGTTTTGTTCCATTCTCTTTTCTTTTTGTTCTGGTGTTCTGTTTTGTTCCATTCTGTTTTGTTCCATTCTGGTGTTCTTTTCTTTGTTTTGTTCTGGTGTTCTGTTTTGTTCCATTCTGGTGTTCTTTTCTTTGTTTAGTTCTGGTTTTGTTCCATTCTGGTGTTATTTTCTTTTTGTTCTGGTGTTCTGTTTTTCCATTCTTTGTTTGTTCTGGTGTTCTGTTTTGTTCCATTCTGGTGTTCTTTGTTTGTTCTGGTGTTCTGTTTTGTTCCATTCTGGTGTTCTTTTCTTTGTTTTGTGTGATGTCTTTCCTTGTTCTGCTCTGATGCTTTTCTTTGTTTTGTTCTGGTGTGTTTTGTTCCATTCTGGTGTTATTTTCTTTTTGTTCTGGTGTTCTGCTTTGTTCTATTCTGGTGTTCTTTTCTTTGTTCTGTTCGGTGTTCTTTATTCTGGTGTTCTGTTTTGTTCTGTGTTCTTGTTCTTTGTTCCATTCTGGCGTTCTTTTCTTTGTTCTGTTCTGTTCTTTCTTTGTTCTATTAAGGTGTTCTGTTCTGTTATATTCTGGTGTTGTTCTGTTTTGTTCTATTCTGTTTTGCTGTTCTGTTACATTCTGGCGTTCTGTTCTGTTACATTCTGGCGTTCAGTTCTGTTTTGTTCTGTTCTTTTCTGTACAATTCTGTTATATTCTGGCGTTCTGTTCTGTTTTGTTTGATTCTGCTGATCTGGTTCGGCTCCGTTGTTATGTTCTGTTGTTCTCTATACTGTTGCAAATGTCATCGCTGTAGATCCCCGAACCGTTAGATACCCATTTGTAATAGGAACTGATGGTAAAAAGAACAAAAGAAGGAAGAGGGAGTAAAAAGAGAAAAAAGATTACGAAAGCAACACGGCCAAGTAAGGTAAATGGTGGGTGATGATGATTATGATGATGATGGTGGTGGTTGTGGCGATAATGATGATGATGATAATGATGGTGATAATGATGTGCTTATGGTGCGACGATGATGGTGGTGGTGGTTGTGATTATGGTGTGGTGCTGAAGTGAGGTGATTATGGTGGCGATGAAGGTGAAATAATACGATGACGAGAAGATGAAGATGATGGTGGTGATGACTACACAATGACGATGATGACAATGATGACCCTGTGTGTGTGTGTGTGTGTGTGTGCAGACACACACACACAAAAAAAAAGCCGTGTGAGCCAGATGTTATCGCCAGCACAAGCAGCAGCTGTCGTAATTACAACAGATTCAGTTTTTCTTCGCCTCAAACCCTTTCCTCCCCTCTCCCCCTCCCCTCCTTCCACTTCCCACCCACCACCCCTTCCCCCCACCCTCCACCCCCCTCCACCTCCTACCTACCCTCCATTCCACCCTACCTCCCCCGTCTCCCCTCCCCCTCCCTTCCACCCCCCCTCCACCCCCACTCAAGGGCCCTGCAATATCGGTCTGTTTCTTCGCATTTTCTTTCTCTTTAAATATCAAACAAGAAGAGAAGAAGAGAGAGAGAGAGAGAGAGAGAGAGAGAGAGAGAGAGAGAGAGAGAGAGAGAGAGAGAGAGAGAGAGAGAGAGAGAGAGAGAGAGAGAGAGAGAGAGAGAGAGAGACAGACAGACCAGAGACAGACAGACAGACAGAGAGACAGAGAGACAGACAGACAGAGACAGACAGAGACAGACAGAGACAGACAGACAGACAGACAGACAGACAGAGACAGAGACAGAGACAAGACAGAACAGAGACAGAGACCAGAGACCGCGAAAAAAATACACAACGAACGAGGAGCGCGAAGAAACCCCCAAGAATAAAGAGGAGGCGAACGGCCTAAACGCCATCACCCGAGGGAAGGGGAACCCGACACCCAGCGAGGCAGGGGCCGGCCATCCTGTCGTTGCTGCTGTTATTGCGATGCCGCTCTGGCACACTGGCCACTCCCCCCCTCCCAATCGTCCCACCAATCGTACACCAGACACACACATGGAGGGAGGAGGAGAGGAGGGAAGGAGGAGGAGGAGGAGGAGGAGGAAGGAGGAGGGAGGAGGAGGAGGAGGAGGAGGAGGAGGGGAGGGGGGGGGGGGGGGGGGGAAGAGGGAGACAGACTAGACAGACAGACAGATGCAAAGTACTGTGTGTGTGTATATATATATATATATATATATATATATATATATATATATATATATATATATATATATATACACACACACACACACACACACACACACACCACACACACACACACATCGTTTTTTTTAATTCCTTCACAAGACAGAAAACAATCCCCCGCCTCAGCATACGCAACCCTTCCAAAAAAGGGTCCCCGATCTACTTTCGCCTCCCGCGGCCGGAAAACAACAACAACAACAAAAACAGCTGAGATGATGTTACAAGCGATTCTTCCCGTGACCTTCGGCGCCACCTGCTCGGGAGGATCTGCAGTTTCTCGGGAGAAATTTCCTTCTTTCGCGACAGGTGACTAGGGAGAGAGGAGAGACAGAGGAAATGTTGCAAAGGTAAAGGGAAAAAGAGAAAAGGGTAGAAAGGAGAAGGTAAGGGAGGGAAGGGGAAAGAGAATAAGGAAGTGGAAGAGGAAGGGAGGGAGGCAGAGGGAGAGTGGGACAGAGGGGGGAGGGGAGAGAGGGGGAGGGAGAGGGAGGGGGGGAGGGAGGGAGATGGGAGAGAGACAGATACAGACAGAGAGAAAAGAGAGTAACATCGAGGAAGGACGGAAGAAGAGAGAAATTCCAGAAACAAGAAGAGAAAACGCCACATCACAGAAAGACAAACGAATGAAAGCAAGAAGAAAAAGGAAACAAACAAAAAAAAAAAAACGAAAACAACACATAAAGAACACCCCCAAAATCAACAAAATAAAAGACCAAGCCTTAATACTCACACAAGAAGAGGTCACCAAGCAATTTGTCCGAATGCGTCACTCCTCGAGAACCTGCAATGACAACAGGTCGCGTTATCATCCAGAACATAATCCACACAATGGGTCGACGTGATGGCGCCACTTATGCTATTAAGGACTTAAGAATATATATACTGAAGTGTGTGTGTGTGTGTGTTTGTTTGTGGTTGGGTGTGGTGGTGGGGGAGAAGTGTGTGTGTGGGAGGGGAGGGAGCATGTGGTGTGCATGTTTTTTTGTGTGTATGTGTTTTGTGTGTGTTTTTTGTGCATGTGTATTTGTGTGTGTGTGTGTTTTGTGTACGCACGCATGTATGCGTATATGTATACGAACGTATGTAAAATGCGAACGTATTTATCCGTTTA